ATATATAAAGAAGGAAATTAAATATTTATAAAGTTAGACAAAGAATGAGTTAATGAAAGAGTTACCTACCATTCATTTCTTGGTGCATTGAAACCTTTAAGCATATAGTAGTCCGTTTGAAAGCTGTGCCTTGGTACAGAGGACATGTTTAAGGATTCAAGTATGACATGTTCAGCTTCCGCTATGTCCCCATCCACCAATATCTTCACCTCCTGCAGATTTCGAAGCTTCACTTTTTTAGCCTCAACCACATCGATTGTACTTCCCACTATTTTCATACAAAGCACGAGGAGTTTATTCAAGTTTGCTAGATCACTGACGCTAAACTCTTCAGGATCGTCACGATCAACTCTCAAAATGAGCCCCACTAATTGTGTGAGTCGAGTTAATTTCACAACTCCCTTTGGGTAGCTAGCTAATTTGAGGCAACCTGTTGTACAAAGAAACCTCAAGTTCACTAAATTTCTTATCTCATCAGGCAATCTCTCAAGATTAAAACAGGAATACAAATTTAAATTTTCCAAATTGTGTAATCTGAAGAGTGCATTTGGCAACCTTTTTAGGTTCCTGCTATAAGCCAAGTCAAGGTGTCTCAAATGCAATAAGTTTCTTATTTTTTCTGGAATAGTTGAACCATCATAGCTAGTCACATCCGCTACCCTTAAGCGTCTAGCTTGATTAAACAAATTACACAAGGCCTTTTCACTGATAGCAGGATAATCACCAAAACCATCATCATAACTCAGAACACTTCGCAATTTTTCTGCATTAGGAATGAATTCAGGAAAATGGAGACCCTTTTCTATTATCACAATCAAATGTCGAAGTGTTCTTTCTCCGTTCATTGTTGAACTTGTATTACCTTTGGAGACCTCCAATGCCATAAACTCACCCCTTGTCAAAAAGAGAGCAAAGTCATGCACCAAATCATGTATCTTACAGATAAGTTGTTCATGTTTATACTCAAAATCTTGGAAGAAACAGTGAGCGTTCAAGCATTGAAAGTATTCAAAGCCTTCTAGTTCCAACGGTGAATCATCATCATCATCAAAGTCTAAGAAACCTTGTGCCATCCAGTGTGAAATCAATTCACAAATATTAAAAGGCTCGTCTTTAGGAGCAAGAGCTAAATACGTAAAGCACTGTCTTACTGATGAGGGCAAATCATAATAACTCAACAACAAAGGAACAAAAACATCTTTTTGTACCATTTCCATTCTCCACAGCTCACTATTCAAAACATGCTCCCACCCTTGTATACCAGTTTTAAACCGCAAGAGGCCTCCCAAAGTCTTTGCAACAAGCGGCAGACCTTTGCA